CATGGGTTCGATTCCCAGAGGAAAAACATGGTGGGTGAATATTCTCTCTGTTATCAGAGTTTAACTTTAATACATTTAAATAAATACCTTGTTCTGCCAAAAAAGGTGACATTTCTTATAGTTTGATTTATCAAAAGAGGAAAATAAAGTCTTCCCAGAAACAAACTCTGGACCAGGGAGTGTGTGCAGCCCTGACAGAGGTTCTCTCCCTCAGGGTGTGTTTTCTCTGCTTTTGTTCTAATGTTTACAGGAATTCCTTTGAGTCCTGATGTGCAGAAGTCACAGGGGGGAAAAAACAAAACAAAAACCCTCCATAAAATAGATTTGATGATGGAATATTTTATGACACATCAGCCAAAACAGCCAGCAGCCCAGACTGTCCACATCCACATCAGTTCTGACTCCGTTTCTCTGCAGGTTAAGGGTCTAAGACCCAGTGAAGCACGAAGCACCGGAGCAACAGCACGTAGAGAAATCACTGAAACAATCTGTGTAAAACGACACACAGGCTGCTTTTAGACCCACACCAACACATGCTGCTTCACAAATAGAGCTGAGGGCGACGTTTGGAGAGAAGACGACCCGGTGACAGACGACATGTTGTTGTACAAAGTGGGGAAAGAGAAAAAACAACAACAACAACAACAACAACGAAAACTTCAGAATAGAGCTGCTACAGAGAACAGACATTTGAAGACAACAGGCAAAACAAACACAATAAACCATGAACAACACGAGGCTCCATTTGGACAGACCTCGTTAAAATGACCATTTAAATACCGGTCTTGTTTTGTATTGTTTTCATTCAAAGGTTTAGTTTAAATCCCGTTCGGTTACCTCCAGCCGTTAGTTCGACCAGCAGCGACCACCAGAGCAGACCGCTGAGCCACAACTTCCTCCTGGCAGTGTCCATCTTCTTCCACCTTCTGCCGATCACACAGCGCCGGGAGGAACCGTTTACATGTTTTCGCACCTGCCGGAGTTGCTGACTGGAGCTGCTGACTGGAGCTGCTGACCAGGACAAACCACGAACTCACACCGCTTTCAAAAATTCTCTAAACTCCTGTGGGAACGAGCGGCGCTGCCGCAAAACCTCAGCAGCACTGAAGTGAAGCGAAGCGTAGCGGCGCAGTGGACGAAACTCCACCTCCTGTGTGTGTGTGTGTGTGTGTGTGTAGGCGATAACTATCTTGTGGGGGTCCTTTGTCATGACGAGGACCTCTACACTGTGGAGGACCTGTAGACTCAATCATTCTGAGACTACAGCAGTGGTTCTCAAACTGTGGTACGCGTACCACCAGGGGTACGCGAGCGCTCTCTAGTGGTACTGTCAGCTTGCCCGCGCGGTCCGGAGGCAAAACACAAGAGAATGATTCTCCAGGTGGTAATGTATGTGTTTATTCCACACATACAAAATCAACCACTTTACAACAACAACAACAATAATGATGATGATAATGATAATAATAATCCTCACAATCTCCTTCTAATACAAACTCCACAACTCGTTTTTTCAACAAACATTTCTCCGTCCCTTTTATCCCTTTCCCCTTAATCACATGACTAATTGGCTCAAACCATTGAGCGGTGTTTTTACATATTTACACATATATTAATAAACCATAAATATTTACATAAATACAATATATACAATATAAACACCTATTTGCAAACCCATATACCATTAATAAACACCACAAATACAAACACATGAATATATGAACATGACACATTTACATAACCCCACACAAACTCCCCTACTCCCACTTCCCACTTACTACTGTCCTCCAGAACCATACATAAGGGCCACGTTCCCCGGGGACCTGTCTTGATGTGACACCATGTGAAGACAGAGCAGCAGGTTGTGGTAAGTTTCCCTTTGCGTTGTTACGCCCTAGCTCAATCCACCATATACTTCGCTTCATTACAGTATGTCCTTATTACA